AGACATAGCTTCCTTTTCTAATCGCCTTTGGCATCTGGCATCTCTTTCTTCAACCTAGCACTTTCTAAATGCCTGTCTTTATGGATACCTGAGATCAGCCCCGAGTGGCATCCATATACCTCTAACAGTTTCTGGTTTCCTTGCAATCTGCGTTCACATGGTTGGGAGGCATTGACCTCACCTCTCCCTGCCTTCAGGCTGGGCTGGTTGGCATCCCAGACCTGGCCCACCAATACCATGTGATTGGCCTGGAGCTGAACACATGACCCAGTTCAGCCAATGAGACCCAAGTCTGGGACTGCAGCTGAAACAGTTGGGAAAGAAACATTCTTCTTACTGGAGTTTCTAAACTGGGAGTGTGCAGACCTGCAGCTGCGAGAGACCATCTGTGCTACCACATGGGGACAGCCTGCCCCAGAGTGAAGCCAACAGGAAAAGAGAGCCAAGACACACAGAGGAACAAATTTTAAAGGTACCATTTGAGCCTCTGGATTCAGCCATGCCTGAATACAGCGCACTCCAGATTTGCTCAGTAATATGAACCAGTAAAATTTGAGCTTTTGAAACAAGAGATCTAAGCATTATGTTTAGTAAGAGCCAAGAACCATGCTGGCAAGACACCACAGCTACAAAGAAGATAGGAGCTTGATTCTAAAAGAGCTCATAATCTATCTTTTTATTTTTAATAATAGCTTTTTAAAGATACAATTCACATACTGTAATATTCACTCCTTTCAAGTGTACAGTCCTTTGGTTTTTGTATGTTCACAGAATTATGCAACCACCTCTCCTCTTATTTCCTATCCTGCATCAAAAATGATTAATAGGTTCTCTCCCTGTTCTCTATTCACTGGTTGCATCTCTCAAACTAGGGCTATGATTAAGCGCCAGATAAACAGAGTCCAACCCCCCATCCTTCAGTTGTTGGGATATTTTCTAAAGCACCAGGAGTGAGAGAAGAGCTGTCTGGCAAAGCTACTCAAGTGAAAGAGACGCTCACCAATCACCAGATTCTCTCTGGGTTTTCCAAGCTGTCTCATGATGGCTGTCCCAAAAGCCCTACACCTGGACTCTGCTCTTTGGGCTTCCAGAACTTCCGCTACAGAATGTTTTAAAATACTAATAAGTGATAAAACATATAAATGCAACAATAGGGAAGTGATTAAATATTTGTGCCCCTATAAGACATAATAATAGATCACTGCTAGAAATCATCTTCAGAGAAAAGTATGAAGATGGGGGGGGGGAAATACTCATGATACAATAGTAATGAAATTAAACACAATATTTAAAGTACATAACACAGTAAACACTGGCAATTGGAAGGAAATAATGCTAATTCTTAAATGCAAGTATTTTGTGGAAGGGCAATTATTTATACTTTTCTGTAATTTTCAATTTTTCTAAGCTGAACAATAATCAAATTAGACCCACAAGTGTTATTTTTAAAACTCATTCCTTGGTTACTATCTTATTTTATTAATGTGGTTACCAAAGAATGAGAAAACTCATGTAGAACAGAATCCCCTATAAAACCTTTTAAAAAGATACTGTCCTTTAAAAAAAGATATCGTCCTGCACATCCTTTTAATCAAACCCATATGGAATGTAACCCACCAAGTTTACCTTTTCACCTGCTTAGAAGCTCAGAACAAAAATTTAAAGCTCAAAATGCAATCACCAGTTTAGCTTGCATGTTTTAACTTCATGCTTCTATATAGTTTCCAGTGCTTCCTTTTATCCATGTCTTACTTGTGGTTGATTGGCCGGCTGGTTGGTTGGTTTTGCTCTTTTTTTTTTTTTTTTTTTTTTCTTTTGGGGACTGATGGCAGAGTCTGCACTGAACTACATATTCTCAGGCCATTCTTTTGAGCAGGGTCTCATTAAGCCCCCAAGAAACTAGCCATCTTTCTGCCTCAGCCTCCAGGCCTGAGCTGCCACCCTCATCTTTGTGTGTTTTCATATACATGAAACCTCTTTGGAATCTACAAATAAGTGTTTGCTGAAACCATTCGATGTCACTAGAGATGCTGAGGTTCTGACAGAAAGGTGTCCCATTTTACCCACCAGGGCACTGAAGGAGGCTTTTAAAGCTATCATTTCCCCCATAACAGTAGGATATCTACCAAGATATATACACATATCCTCTTGACTGAGACGACCTGCCCTCGGGCACCAGATTAATTCAGTTCTTGATTCTTTTTTTTTTTTTTTTTTTTTTTTTGCAGGCCGCATGGACTAAGGTCCACGCTGGCCACCACAGTCACTGAACAGAGGATGACAGTAAATGTTAGCAAAGCCAGCCAAAATCTGTTCACATCTGTCTTGCATTCAGATCTTCAGACAATAAGTGACAAAGTGGCGGGCAGGTAAGTAGGTGGTACACACACCACACAGACACAGGCTATCTGAATAAACAGGCCCACAGGCTCTCTAATCGTCAGGCTTCAGACAGCCTGGATTTTACTGCACATTACTCTGGCTCCTTCACTCTGGCTCAAAGAAAAAAATACCTCTGCTGTAAACACGAGGTCACTTGGAAAAAAAAAATAGGTAATTATATCATCTGAGCACTCTCCCAAATGTGATACCTTATAGCAGAAGATGATGTATTTGATTGTCAGCCACAATTGTTCTTGCTAGGGATAACTTCACTGACTCTCCAGGAGACTTCAGAAGTAAGCAAAAGAAGCAAGCACGCAATATTTTAATTGTGGCCATGTTATCACATCTAAAGCCACCGTGTCTTACTTGTGAATCCACACCCAATGAAAATGAAGGAAGGGAGGCAGAATCATTTATCCAGTGCTTACAGCGTGCCAGACAGCACCCAAGGCTGAGCCAGGCAGCTCAAGGCATCTTCCTGTAAGCCGCACACCACCCCCCTGCAGAGTAGATATAATATCCTCACTGTTTAAAATGTGGACATCTAGGCTTAGAGAGATTAGAAATGTATCTCAAGGTCACAGGGGAGACCAGTTTCTGAGTGTTGAACCCCAGTCCAACCTACCCCAGAGCTCCACATGCGGCCCTTTGAAATAGCTACAGACCTTCCTGTTGGCATGAAGCTTAAATAATCCTCTGTCCTCCTTCCCACTGTTTCCAAAATATCCCTGCTCCAGAGCCTCTAGCTGCCTCATCTCCTTGACGCGGGTCCCTCAGTCATCACAGACACACTTGAAAAACAAAATGTGAAAGCTTCCACCCACACCCTGAAACCAACAGGCAACCTCTTCCCTGCCACAAGCCAAGAGGAAATCTCTTCCAAGGAATCTTCTTAAAGGGAAGAAAGTGGTGGCAAGAGCTTTGTGCAGCTAATAATACCTGGTGACGATGCAAGCAGGGCTGCCCTGTCTACACTTGTTTTTGTCTCCAGTGAACGGGCGCTCGCTCTCTGCTGTCCCTTCCAGAAGAGTATGTAAGGATCAACGAGGAAATAGTGCCAAGAAGAGGTGCTTCCGCGTAATTGCATGGTTCTCCATTTATGTGTGCAAGACAAGTACCCTGGAGAACTTGAAATGATCGGGCAAATATGAGGGCGACAGGAATGTCATTTGAAAATAATTTCACAGCCGGTTAGCCCTGTACAGCCACTCAGCTGGCATCCTCCTGGGGCAGAGGATGCCTTTGTGCCTGCAGCAGCCTCTGCGCAGCGCGGCCAACTGCCACCAGTTCCTTCACCTTTTATTTACAGCGCAAAGCAAGCTGGTTCATCAGTGGGATGGGAAGGTGGAGAACAAGATACGATCTAGATTCTGTCCTTTCCCTGGGGACATAAAAAGGGTCAGGTCGAGAAGGAAGCACAGCCCAGGTGGCATCGCCAGAGTAGTAACGCAATCCTCCTCCCCAAAGAAGTCTGCACCCCTGGGGAACCCCGGGAAGCAAGATCCATCCTAGCGCCTCGGAGGTGGTTGGCGCGATAGAAGAGGCGCCAACCAAGCCCACTGCACAGAAAATCACTGCCCCCTTCAGGCCGCATTTCAGACGCTGCGCCCGTTGCGTAGGGACTTCCTCAGTCCGAAAAACTCGCCAACCCGACTGTTTTGAGGCCGGAGATCGCTTCTCCAGGCCTCCCTGTGCGTTCTAGCGCCCGCCTGGTGGTGACGATTTGTGCTGGGGTTTAGGGAAAATCCCAAACCAAGGGTACGTTAGGGGTCTTGCAATGGAAATCTTTGAGAAGGAGGCCGGGAGGGGGAGCCCGCTGCTGCGCTCCAAGTCCGTGCTCGGGTACTAGGACGCTTCAAGTCTGCGCCTGGAGAAAAACTGCGCCCGCAGCCGCCCGGCCAACAATCGGACACCACCGCTGTGGGACACCGCCGCGCACGCCCGGAGCAGGACCTGCCAGGGCGCTTTGAGCAACTAACCAGAGAGGAGTTTCCTCCCAGAACATCTCGGGCTGCGGGCAGCGCGGACACATCAAGCAGCAGCGCTGCTGATCCCGCGGCCCCACACCTGCCGGTGCGCGACACACGCCCTGCCAGCTCTGCCTGCTGTGCCCTTTTGCCTGTCGAGTCCGTGAGCCCCGTGAACCTTTAAGCGCGCTTGGGTTTTGCTGGTGGACTGTGAGCAGGCCTGCGGTCCCTCCAGCCTCGCGTGCCCCAGTTTGCAGCCAATGCGCCTGGTCCTCCCACCCGGGCCCCTACAGCAGTAGCACCTGGCAGGGGCAACCACCGCAGGCCTTTTCGGGGTCCAACCCCATGTTTCCACTCTTTCTCTGGTCCAAGGAGACCCTAATGTTCTGTTTACCCCCACATACACGCACACTCACATACGTCCATAAAATCCCAAAGGAAGAGGATGCTCGGCAAATCTGGGCAAAGCTGTGCCAGTCAAATCCAGGGAGATTTGAGGGTGCCCACCGAGCCCCAGTCCAGGGTGCCGTCGGCAGGCGGGGGCGGGTCAATCGAAGCTCCAGCCAAGGGCTGGTGCTCACCTCTGACCAACACTCCCCCTTCCTCGCGCCCCCAGGTCCCCGACGGCACCGGCGGCGGGACACTCACCTCGGTGTCGTAGAGCCGCAAGTCGAGGAAGTAGGGGCGCAGGAGTGACTCGTTGCGGATCTGCTCGATGGCCAGCTCCACGGCGGGGAGCACGCCGCGCCCGATGCTGCCCTTGGCCACCTCCTTGGTGAGCGGCATGAGGCCCATGATGGAGAGCGGTGGGCTACTGGGCGGCGGCCGGGGGGCGCCCCGCGCCCAGCCCCAGGCCCCGGGCGCCAGCGGCAGCAGCAGCGGCAACAGCAGGAGCAGCAGCAGGCGCGCGGGAGGCGGCGACGGCGGCGGCGGCGGCGGCGGCCCGGGCTGCCCGGAGCTCCGCGGGGAAGCCATGCCGCGCCGCGGGCTGCGGGCGCCGGCTCACTCGGCCCGCATGGCCTGGCCCGGCCCGCCGCCCGGCGCCACGCTCTCCCCGCGGCGCCCGCGCAATGGCGCCGGCCGGTGCCCCGGCTCCGGCTCGAGCTCGGGCTCCTGCTCGATCAGAACGGCCGCGGCGGCGGCGGCGCCCGTGACGGATCAATCACGCCGGGAAGGGGTGGGAGCAAGCGGAGCGCGGGAGGCGGGGAGCGAGCGAGCAAACGCGGAGAGGGGGGCCGGCGTCTCTGCGCGCTCTCTGCCGCGCTGCCGCCCCGCACCGGGCCGCCTCCGCCCGCCCCCGTGCGCGCTTGGAGCCGCTTTCCAGCCCGGGGCTGCTAGGCGGCCGCCCCAGGAGCCCGGCCGGGGGAGGGCGGGCGGCAGGAAACGCGGGAGGCGAAGGCGAGGCTGCTTCGCGGCGGCTCGGGCCGCCTCCAGGGACGGGGACTGGCCGTGCGCGCGGGGGCTGGGGGTTGGGGGAGGCGCCGGCGCTGGCGCTGCGGCGGCCTCGGGGAGAGCTGTCTCCCCGCACACGCACACACGCGCCCCCGGCCCTCCGCCGCACCGGCTGCTGCTGCCCGCCGACCGCCGGGGACCTGCGCGCGCGGGGACACCGATCCAGGGAAGCAGGACCGCGCTCTGCCGCACGCAGGGGTCGTCGCCGTTTCGCTGATCGCTTCCTGTAGCACCTGCAAGGTGATGTGGGGTTGCTTCTCGGAGGTCTGGGCAGCCGAGTCTGGAGGAGCCAACGTTCTGCAAAAACGTCCTATGGGGCACCTGCAGCCTGTGCTCTCTTCCGCTCCAGCGCCGGAGGGCCTGGTCAGCCAGCCGGGTTGCAGAAGATTCCTGTCGGCTGTCCAAAGCCCCTTGGTTCCAGTTGGTCCGATCGTAGGTCCTTGGCTAAGGACACCCTTCTTCCCACCCCACGCAGCAGCCGCCCTTAGCCTACCTCAAGTGAGAGCTGGGATCTGAACCTGGCGTGCGCTACTGCCCCCTCCAGGCTTTTGACCTCCGGTGTCCCCACTCCCAAAGGGCCCCGCCCTAGAATTTTCCTCGGGGTGGAAGATCTGTCCCAAGGCCAGAGACAGGCAACGGGTCCCTGGTCTTGGCTCCCTTTTGCCAGGTCGCTTGGCCACACAGACTAACGTTAGGCGAATCGGCCCGGAACCAGAAGTGTCTGAGTGAGATGACCTAAAGACCTTGGGTCTCTCTGTGCCTCTCCGTGAAGAATGAAAATCGTGATCACTGAGCTATAAAATCTCAGGGGTTAATTAATGCCAGGGACACAGCAGGACATCAAATCACAAAATAGCCTTGAGCCTGAGCCAAGCATGGTAGGCTATGCCCACGTCCCTATAGTAAAGGTGCGAGTTAACCTTTGTTTGCTGACCACTTACAATGTGATCCTCAGCCCTATAAACTCAGTACTGTACGCTAGGTTTATCATGCCAACTTCCCAAATGAATGCTCAGAGGGTGTCTGGAGCTTGCACAAGGGCACAGAGCTGCTAAAGAGATTGGAACGCAGAGCCGGCAGGGGCTTTCTGCACCCTACGGTGGTTGCTGGATGTGAGAAAGCGACTCTTCTGAAGCAGGTGCACCGTGCTGACTACCAGTTGCTCTGGACCTCGGCTCCCTCAGGCATTCGGTGAAAGAGTTTTACCAGATGATATCCACAGACCTGCTTTTCTGGAGCGAGGCAGGGGCAACCCCAAGCAACACCGGATTATCAGGAAGCCTGAAAACCAGTGTGAAGGCTGAGCCGAGCTACTGGACAGCACCTTGGACAGCGCCAGGGAACCTGGCCAAACTTCTCTGCCTAGACACCACTTTCTAGGGTTCTGGAGGCACCACTCTCCTTTTAGTGTGTCTTTCTGAAACTGAAAGATGTGTGTAAGCAGAGCTCTCCTGAACATCTCTGTCTTCCCCCAACAGTGATCCCAAGGACAGAATAACCCAGACACTCACTAAGCTGATGTCTCACTTGATGTCATAAGTACCCACTAGTTACAGAATTTTCCCTCTGGCCCTTCTTCCACTCCTCCACAGATTTCTGATGAGCATTTTCATTTTTTCCCTTAGTCATTTGTGTTTTCCTTGAGAACTGTGCCCACACAGAGTATCCACTGATAGCTACATCTGGGAATACATTAAAAGCTGGGATAACTTTGCCTGACATTTACTAAGGAGGTTGAAGTTCCTGCCTGGTCACCTACCTTGCAACCCCTGTGTGGTCCAAACACAGTTTTATGCTTATTGTTCTTGAAGTGGTATCATTAAAAACATTCGAAGACTGATCTTCTTGGATAGTATAAGCCACTATGAAGCTCATGGGGTGACCTGAACAAATAGCCCAGGAACTCTCTCTGTTCATCACCTTGGCTCCAGGCCATGCTCTGATTTCATACTCCACTTTAATTATCCCTTCAGGTATCCCTCTTCTTCTGAGCTCCTGCCCTGGCCTTGGGTTCTGGTTTGGATAACTGGGACCCTGGCATGCTTCCCTGGTCTGTGTTTCTGTCTTTGCCACCAGCTTAGAATCCATGTTCCTCTAGAGTTGGAGTCCAGTCTCTTTCATTTTAATAACCATTCACCAATGTTGGGAAGGGTCTATCTACTCCATGCTGGGCGGTGGCTTAGCTGCTGTGAATGCAGGAGTGAACAAACCAGACCCAGACTGCTACCCTTGTGGAACTGGCATTTCACTGCAGAAAGAGACAATAAATAGGAATAAGATTATGAAAAATGGAGGGTTGCAATCTGAAATGGAAAGATTAGAGGAAAAACTGAAGCAACTTCTCAGCAAGGACCTAAGGGAAGGGAGTAAGAGAGACAGGCAAATAGTTTTCCATAAGGGAAAACAGCGAGGCTCCTGGACAGGAGCGTGCCTGGCATATTCAAGGAACAATCGAAGTGTGGCTAGAGCAGAATGATCAACAGCATAAGCAGTAACATCAAAGGTCAGAGGCAGGAGAGACTGCACAGGACCTAGGTGCTCTTTGGTTGTTCATGAGGAAATGGAAACCCACAGGAGGGTCTTGAGCATAGTAATGCCATGATAAGAAGCATTTGAATAGCTGAATGGAAATCTGTCAGTAGGCCAAAGGACAAACACAGGCATACTGGTTGCTGTGGTTTGTTTAAATGTCCTCCCAAAGCCTCAAGCAGTCATGGAGGCAGCTGAATCTAGTATTTGTGATTGGTTTGTTGTCTAGCGCAGGGATTGGTGGTGTGAGTGCTGCACCCACCCAAGGGGGAGGAGCCAGCATACAATATAAGGGAAGAAAAGTGGCATGCCTTCCTCTTTGGCAATTTCATCTTGTCACTTGCAGCTGCCATGAACGACCGCCCCTCAGCCATGTCAGTTGAAGTCAGCTGAGTATGGACTGAAACCTCCGAAAACTGTAACCTAAATAGACTTTTCCTTACTTCACTTTGGGCACCAGCTATTTTGTCTCAATATCGAGAGGAAAGTAACCAAGATGCTGGTATGGAAGCTGTTATAACAAACCTGGTTCTGGTAACAAGAACCAGGGTATAAGCAGAGGGAGGGGTGAAAAGTGGCTAGAGTTACAATTGTTCTTTATACTATTAATGGGAATAGAGTACATTGGTCACCTCTCAGGACTGTGGAAAACACTTGATTGAGCTCATCAGCCTTTTAAGAGAGGTAGTTCAGACTTGGAAAGCAATGCTCTCAGAGTGGCACCTCCAGAATGTGTTAAATAAGGTCTAGATGGTTCAAACACTCATCTTCTTCCATTGTCCTACCCTCTTAGCAATCCTTCCTCCCACACACTGAAGTCTGGCTCCACGCCCTAGCTCAGAAGTCAGAGTGCCCACAGCTTTGTATGGATTTGGGAGCCACAGTCCATCTGCTGTCTGCCAGTAGGGCATGCATCCCCTCAAACAGGATTCTGATACCCAGAAGGTAGTCAATACTCCTCACCTGCCACCATCCCTTGTCTGCTCTTTGCCTGTGTTTGGACTGACTACCTCCTTCCTCTTGAGTTGGAGGTGCTCAGGTCTGCCCCTCCGCACCTGAATGTCCCTCAGGAACTGGGTGCAATTTCCCACACCATTCCCAGTGAGACCTGCCATCCATTCCTGCCTTCACTCTGTCAGTAGAAGAAAGACCTTCTTTTTAATCATACCTTACAAGGTGGAAATATCTGTTAAGTCTGATTGATGTAAAGATGTTACAAAAATTTACACAGCTTAAAGGAGAGATGATAAAAAATGTCTATTTTTCCCCTCCCAAATGCTTACTTCTTAACAAGTGACCAACATAGTGGTTTAAAAGCCTCATTGGTAAATGATTGAGACACAGATACAATAGTAATACTCACTGTTTACTATCATATTAAATACAAAGGGCCATGTATACTATCTTGCTTAAAGAAGTCTTTGACTAAAAAGCAGTATCTGTCATATTCAGATTTTCTTGTTTTAAAGAAAACAGTTTATGTTCCATAGATAGGTATTATGTAAATAAAAGTTATTTTATACCAAAAAATTATGAGCCACTTTTGCAAACATCTTCCATGTATTATTATTCATGTTTACATTGAAATGCTTCTTTCAATCAAGTAACTCAGCTCTTTTTAAGTGCTTTGTTTTACATTTCCTTGTTTTTTAATATGTAACTTATGAATGATGGCTCTCAAAAGTCTACCTGAATGATTCTGAGTAGCTTTTTCCTTTTTTCCCAAAGTGTGTTTTTTAAATGGAAAAGTTGGTTTCAGGTATCAAATGTGGTCTAGTGACATGTTCCCACAATACAATAGCCACCATTCATTAAACACCCACCTACTCTGTGACAGATACCTAGGTATGCATCATCAGTTTTCATGACTGCCTGGAAAATGGGTGTTAGGACCTCATCTCAGTTTTGCAAACTACGAGGTCCGAGTTCATTCATGATGCTCCGCAGAGGCAGCAATCAGGTCCAAATCCACTCCGACTCGAGCTCCTGTGCCTGCCTCCCTCCCATGT